AAAGAAGGAATACACAAACATATTTCATAAAACACAGCTTGGCTTCCATTTCAGAGAACTTAGATGAAGACAGGATATTCTACACTTTGTACTTTTATGGAGCAACTCATACATACATGTGTACATATTTTGCGGGTGTCTGTGTTGGTGTTTGTCCAACCAAACAACCAACCACCAACAACAAAGGCGTTAAGATTTATTCCACAAAGTAGGTTGATGATTTGCATAAATTTCTTTTTAGCCAAAAGGACGGAAGCAAACCCCCATCCCAGCGAGCTGATGTTGGCTGAATGCAACTCCTGGCCACACTTTATCATGCCATTCACGCCAACTTATCATGAGCGCCATTGGAGTAAATCTGATTTTTTCCAATCTCTCTCTTTCTCTCTATCTCTCCATATCTTTCGAGGAAATGCAATCTTTGTTTTTATAGCTTAATGTTTATATCATTAAATCAGACTAGTGGTGTTGTGGCAGCCTTTGTTGTTGCTGCTGCTGCTTTTGCTGCTGGTGCTTCAGTTCGTCCATTTGGCCCATTCATTATCATCGAGTGTATCTGGATTTTAATGAAAATTTAATGATAATAATAAAAATGCCAACCCTGCAGCTAAAGTTTTGTTTGCTGTTGTTGGAATTTTTTTATGTTTTTCGTCCTTTCCATCGTCTCATCTTCGTGATGGGGTTTTCTCTTTTTGTGTGTTAACCTATCAAGTCGAAATGCCGATGGTATCCAAGAGCAGCAGCAGGAAAGAAAAAAAAAAAAAACTCCCAGCATTGAAACAAAACTCTGCTACAAGTGGAAGTGAAAAAAAAAAAAAACAAGAACAACGGAAGCTCGATTATCTCCAGCGTCAAACATAAATGATAGCAACACTACGTGACACATCGACTAATTGTCATGGAAAAGAAACAAAAAAACAGCAAAAACAACAAAAGTAACTTCCGTTGAGGACAGGGTTACCACTGTTTGATTTGAGTTTTGAATACAAAAATAAAAATAAAAAATAAGAATAAGAATAAATAAATAAACAAATAAATGAAAAATCGAAAATAAAAAAAAAAAGTAGAAAATCCCAATTAAAATATGGAACCGGATTTTTTTTAAATCACAAGTTAAAAAGTATTAATCGGTTTTTTTGACAGATGTATATCCTCAGCCAAAGTTCGATTATTAAAATATGTTTTGACTTCTATTATGATTATTCAAATGTTTGATCCTCTATGGAGTATCTTCCAATGGAATGGGCCAATATTGTCCATTTCGTATCGGACCTAAATAAATAAGATATAAATATTACGACGTGCCAGGTTTGGACTACATGGGTTACTTCCTTTACTTTATGTGAGATATGAATCATTTTTAGGAAATCTTAAAATCTGCCTGAGGTATAAGATATAGTGGACCGAAATATTCCATTTTCACACTTCATCTAATACAGATAAAAATACAGGTATGGGCAAAATTAAGAGAAAATCGGAAATGTAAATTCAATTGTAAGCGAAATCATAAATTCCACATTCATCTCAGGTTTCGGGTTGAGAGAAATATTTGGATGTAGCGAGTTGTAAAGAATCGCTGACCTGTTATGGCAGATAAAAGTATTGAAAATTGTGTCTCCTTGTGGGTGAGGTACCAGAAGGGGTTGGCAGAGATATATAATCTTCACAACAGACCTTGAGTTTGGAAAATGTTTGTGTATGTGAAATTTGAAGAGAGTTGGATGCTTATTTCGCTTTCTTTGAGAGTTTTGTTTTTCAGAATCTTGAACCTTCTGTGGGGGAGGTACGAGAAGAAAAGGTCCGATCTCTACTATTTTTATAACAAATCTCGTGTTGATAAAAATATTGAGATATACCAAGTCTGAATGGAATCGGATGTCAATGTCGCGTTTTATGAGCTTCATGGTTATTTAAAATGTTGACCCTTTTTAGCGGAGGTACCAGAAGAAGTAAGCCGATATATCTCATCTTCACAGCATATCTTGTGTTAGTAGGAATAATGGGATGTGTGAAATGTGAAGAGAATCGGATTTTATAATCGTTTTGGATATTCTAAACTTTGTCCCTTCGTGGGGGAGGTACCGGAAGGTAAGGTCCGACCTCAATTATCTTTATAACTGAGATGGAATCGGATGCTTCGTGGACATTAAAAATTTTGACTCTTTGTGGGGGAGGTACCAGAAGAAGTGCGCTGATATTATATTCCATCTTCGTAGCAGATCTTGTGTTGGTAGAAATAAAAGGATGTGTGAAGTATGAAGAGAAGCGGATGATTATTTCGGATTTTATGATCGTTTTGGTTATTCAAAACTTTGACCATTTGTGGGGGAGGTACCAGAAGGAAAGGTCCGATCTCTAACATTTTTATAACAAATCATAGAAAAATTGAGAAGCACAAATTCTGAATGGAATCAGATGTTAATGGCGTGTTTTATGAGCTTTTTGGATATTCAAAATTTTGACCCTTTTGTGGGGGAGGTACCAGAGGGAGTCCGCTGATATATTCCATCTTCGCAGCAGATCTTGTGTATGTAGAGATAATGGGATTTGTGAAGTATGAAGAGAACCTAATTTTTATTTCGATTTTATAACCGTTTAGATTAACTTTAGATAAAAACTTATTCAAAACTTCGAACCTTTGTGGGGGAGGTACCAGAAGGAATCATCCGATCTCTACCATCTTTATAACAGATCTTGTGTTGATAGAAATATTGAGATGTGCCAAGTCCGAATATAATGAATGTTAATTTCATGCTTTATGAGCTTCGTGGGTATTCAAAATTTTAACCCTATTGTGAGGGAGGTACCAGAAGGAGTGCGCTGATATTATATTCCATCTTCGTAGCAGATCTTGTGTTAGTAGAAATAATGGGATGTGTGAAATATGAAGAGAATCGGATGCTTATTTCGGATTTTATGATCGTTTTGGTTATTCACAACTTTGACCCTTTGTGGGGAAGGTACCAGAAGGAATAGTCCGATCTCTACCATTTTTGTAACAAATCTTGTGTTGGTAGAAATATTGAGAAGTACCAATTCTGAATGGAATCGGATGTTAATGTCGTGTTTTATGAGCTTCTTGGGTATTCAAAACTTTGACCCTTTGTGGGTTAGGTGCCAGAAGGAGTAGACCGATATATTCCATCTTCACAAAAGATCTTGTGTTAGTGGAAATAATGGGATATGTGAAATATAAAGAGAATCGGATGCTTATTTTGGATTTTATGATAGTTTTGGTTATTCAAAACTTTGACCATATGTGGGGGAGGTACCAGAAGGAATGGTTCGATCTCTAGCATTTTTATAACAAATCTCGTATTGATAGAAATATTGAGATGTCTGAATGTAGTCATTCATCGGAGGATGTTAATTTCATGTTTTATGAGCTTCATGAATACTCAAAATTTTAACCCTTTGTTGGGGAGGTACCAGAAGGAGTGGACCGATATATTCCATCTTCACACCAGACCTTGGGTTAGTAAAAATATTGGGATGTGTGAAATATGAAAACAATCGGACTTTTATATCATATTTTATAAGAGTCGTAATTATTCAATATTTTGACCTTTTGTGGGGGAGGTACTTGATGGAGTGGACCGATTTTATCCATTTTCACACCAGACCTAGCACTGACGCAAATATTAGAATTTGCAAAGTTGGAGCAAAATCGGATTGTCCTTTCCCTTTCTGCGGATAATCGCTTGTCTTTATGTGCAGAAAATATATTTTTTGAAAATTTCGACCTTTTGTAGGGGATGTACCAGAAGGAGAGGACCGATATTGGCCATCTCCGGAATTAATCTAACTTTGACAAAAAAAGTACGATATACCAAGTTTGGGTCAAATCGAATTCTCCTTTCGAGAGTTATCTTGCCAGTCAGACAGACGGACGGACAGATATCGCTAGATCGACTCCAAATGTCCTGAAACGGATTTGGTCCAAAGAGAACTAGGGTTTATAACCGTTTTTTCAATGAGGCACGTTTCGAATTCTGGCTTTTGATATCCATTTAATTCGAGCGCGGAACTTTGTTATATCGAACGTCATTTCAAATATCGCCTTAGCTGTAGTTTAGTAAAAACTCTCAGCTTTTATTATTTTTTTTTTTTTACGTTAATCCTGATTCGGGGGAAAGTATTTTTTTCTTGTCGACCGATATATTTTCGGATTTTTTACACGGATCATGACCCGGGTTAGAACCGGGTCTGGAAAATCGATATGAGAAATGTAAATATTATTTAAAAGGTAATGAAAATGCATATCCAACACTCCCGAATTTTAAAAAAAATCCCCTAAAAAGTCGAAAATCCTCTATTTTGGGATTCCACAAAATATATATGCCAAATTATAGTTGACACTATGAACTTTCTAATATTCTACATATGTAATATTATCTTTCCTGGATCCAGAAATATGGGTCTTTGAACATAAATTGTCCATATCGGTTTAGTAGAGCCGTGTCTAACCCAAAAAATATACTTTTGCGGAATTATCAAAATATCAACCTCTGGAAAAAAATTTCCAAAAAATTTGAGAGTTTTTACTAAACTAGAGTTGTTCCCAAATTTCTGGTTTCCCTTTAAATTGAATATCAATAAACACGGCTTTATCTCTTTCCCATAGGCCAAACATATACGACAGCCAAAATAGAAAAATTTGAACAATTTTTGGTCGATTGTAATATTTTTTTAGACTTCGATTCACCGAAACCTTAAACCCAAACATAAAAATCAAACGACAACACTGCTTCACATTGAACCTGCTCACATTGATCCCTTGACATAAAGGATGAACATCCATTTGAATGAGAGTCATTCCCCAGGCATCGTACCAACTTCAGATGTCGTTGACGATTTGTTAGACATACAAATTGAACGCCTCAGGCAAAAGACGATAGTAAAATCATTTGACGTATTTTGTCCAATTTTAACGTTTTAACAGGCAAATGTCGCCATTTAATCGGGAAGATGTTAAAAAATAAAAAAGAATTCAAACTTACCTTACAGCAGGTACTTCTAATATGTCCCATTCAACGGATGTATAAAACTCTGATAAATCCACACCAACCTCAACCACATTGGTACCGTTTAGTTCATCAATGTGCCGCAAGTCAACCTGTTATGGGGGGAAATGAAGGAGAGATATAAAAGACAGTTTGGGAATTATATCTTAAATTAGATTTCAAAATAATAAAAATAGCACATACTTCAAAGTATAACTACATCAAAAGAGAACTTAGATAGATTGTTGGCTCTTTCCCAAAACCAAGAAAATATTACCATTTTTCTTCACTAAAAAATAAACGTTGTTTTTATAGAAACAACAAAAAATTTAATTAAGCCCGACTATTGTGCAGAAATAATGCAAATATTTGCCGCGACTTCTTGATTAAGAAAACCTACAAAAAAGTCTTAAAAATTATCAAAAAAATGTTTCTTGAAATTAACGACTTCTAGACATCTTGAAAACCAAAATTTTTACCAAGTAATCGTTGAAAGGCAATATAAAAATTAATTAAAAAATCCAATATTTGGAAATTCTTAAAAAAATATATATTTATAAAATTTTCAGCCTTAAAGTTATTTGAGAATTAGGATCTACAGGGTGAGGTGAAAAAACTGCAACCAAATTCAGACTGCTGTCATTTCTAAGCCACTCGTCCGACAGCTGTTAAAATTATTCCAGTGACAGCTCATTATATTGTTTACAAGCGTACAAAAGCATTTTGGTGAGAATTTTCCAGAAAAAAAGTTATTCGTGATGGAATTCAAGCGTGATAGTGTGATTTCTTTATATTTGGCTGGAAAACCACAAGTGGCTATTGTTAGAGCACCCCAGCATTTAAATGTGAATAAATCTTTTGTGTCTCGTACCATCGCTCGTTACCGTGGACGGAAGAAAACACCAACATCAGCAGAAATGGTTCGAAAAGTAAAGAAGCGACTTGATCGAAACCCGCGTAGCAGTGGCCGAAAAATGGCTGGTGAGCTGAATATATCGCAATATTCCATTCGGCAAATATTGAAAAATGAGCTCGGGGTAAATCCATTAAAATTCCAAAAAGCGCAAGAACTTACACCGCAACAGAAAGAAAATAGACTCAATAGAGCTAAAGAGTTGCTTCGCTTGGCCGAAAGTGGTGAACTGCCGAATTGGGTTTTCTCCGATGAGGAAATATTCCTTGTCCAGTGGTTTGTAAACAACCAAAATGATCCTGTTTACTTCCAAAGAGGTTAGCTGAAAATGTGCACCTTCGGTAGGCCACAAGAACTCAAGCGCCGGCCATGGTGATGTTGTGGGTGTGGGCGGCCATAACAGCCGATGGTGGCTCTCCGCTCGTATTAATCGACCGTGGCATCAGAATAAATGCCGAATATTATCGCAAAAATATTCTGGAGGGTACATTAAAGTCTTGGGCACGCAAATATATTGGCCGCAGACCTTGGACATTCCAACAGGACTCAGCACCAACGCACTCAGCATACGCTACCCAAGAATGGTTACAAACCAATTCGACCAATTCAAACAAATCTAAACTTATTCTAAAATTTGATGCTATTTCCGACAGTTTTGCTTTCATTTAATGAAATTTAAAATAAAAAACCAGAAAAAAAGTCTTAAAGTCGGGCCGGGCCGACTTTAAGATACCCTACACCACATTGCTAATTTAGTAGAGCTCCACATAACAATTAAAAGTTTTTGTGGGAGAATTCAATCATCACTCTATGATTATAATTAAAAGTGCAAAGCTGCCGAAGCAATTGTATCTTTTAAATTCAGACCTGTATTGCCCATTTTGTGCACAATTAATTTTAAATCGGATAAATATATATATGGGAGCTATATCCAAATCTGAACCGATCTCGATTAAATTTACCAAAGATATTTCTGAGCTGTATTTGATATATATCCCTGAATATCGTTGTTACAGAGTATATATTATGGCTGTGGGTAAAAAATACAACAAATCGAATGAACAATATATATGGGAGCTATAGCTATATCTGAACCGATCTTCACCAAATTTGACATACTAGCTTCTAGACTCAATTCGATCATAAGTGCCAAATTCCATCCCATTTGGAAAAATATTAGACGTTTGGTGCACAATAAAACGTAAATCGGACGAAGTTATACATGGGAGCTATATCCAAATCTGAACCGAACTCGATTAAATTTAGCAAAGGTATTTCTGAGCTGTATTTGCTATATTTCCCCAAATATTGTTGTTACATATTACGGCTGCGGAGGACAGAAATAACAAATCGGATGAACAATATATATGGAATCTATAGCTATATCTGAACCGATTTCGATCAAGTTGGTCATACTTATTTTCAGGCTTAATTTGGTTGTATGTGCAAAATTCCATACTATTCGAGCTGATATTGCACGTTTGGTGTACAATAAAAGGCAAATCGGACGAATATATATATGGGAGCTATATGTAAATTTTGACCGATTATCTCCAATTGCAATAGAGTTCGTCCTTGGGTCAAACAAATGATTTGTGCAAAGTTTCATCTGGATAGGGCAATAAATGCGAACTGTACGTTGTTAACAAAAATACATGGACAGACGGACGGACGGACATGCCTAAATCGACTCAGAATGAGATTCTATGCAGATCATCAAAAGGAACTATGGGTTTATCTCGTTTCCTTTTGCCTGTTACAAACCAATGCACAAAGACATAATACCCTGACCACCTTGTGGTGTAGGGTATAAAAATGTGAAAATGATGACTTTGTTGCAGTTTTTTTATTTCACCCTGTATCATGTTTATTTAAAAAAACACCTTTTTTGTCAAAAGATCTAGTTTTTTTTTTTTTTTTGAAAGTACGATTTTTGTAAATGGCTTTTTGTGCATTTTTGTAAATTAAAGGTTTTTTTCATGAAGTTCTGATTTTTAGACATCCTTGAAAGAGAACCGCGATTTATGCCCATATAAGGTTTGATATGTGGAGCCACACGAATACTCCCATTGCATTATGTGGGATTCGGGATTTTTCAAAATTTTGCCAGTTCATTTAGGAGTTATCACAATGGGTAAGTCTATGCATCCCATTTAAAAATAAATATATATGTAAGTCTTATGCCGGCTACTCCCATTATTGATTCCCAACACTTCCGGATTTTCACCAACCTTGCTAATAGTAAGTCTGGAGAGATTATGGGAGTTATCAGTCTGCTTCTTTTAGCAACTGCCACGGAAGATATAAAAATTTTCAATAACAGAAACTCTTAAAAATATGGAATTAATGTTAGATTGACTTTTTCATTGGGCCTTAGGGGCGTATGATATACGGTTAATATCATTAAAGCAATGTTGGTATATTACTCACACGCATATGTGTACCAGAGAAAGAGTAATTCAATACGGCTCACCTTCGGGGATTACCTCGTTGAATATACGACCTCATATTCAGTGAAGGTTACATCTATATAAGCTATATTCTAAATATTACATTCGAACTGGGTAATACTAACTTCGTAATGGAACTTTGTGTATAGATACCTCGGACTGTACCCTCCATTGATATTTAACACATTGCTCCAATACATTTGATATATTATTCTTTCTTACATTGAAATGCTCTTCTAATTCCCTAATCCAAATATCCACAAACTTTAGTTTTGATGTTGCAAAAACCAAATTAATTAGCTCACTTTTTTATTGTTTTATGTCTTGCAGTAGACTGCCTTGGCTTGCCTTGAATATCCTGGCCTGGCCCTCTTTAATTACAAACGAGGAATATCAATGAAACACTTATGGATTCGTTCATTACTCACGCCCAAATATTGTTCACTAAAATTAATCACGTTTTATTTTTGCTACGATGACCAGAAGAGAGTCAGAGAAAGAGAGAGGGCAAGAGAAAGAGGGGCGATTTAATGATGAAGGGCCGAACCATAAAATTGCCACTTCATGGCCGGTCGTTGAGTATTTGTATTGTAAAAGAAATTAACTGCTGGCCAGATTGTTAACAATGCTTGAGGTTATTTGTTTTCGATGGCTAATAAAAATGGTAATAAACAATAACTGTGAGCACACTCACACGCGCGCACACACACACACAGGCGGTCAGCGGGAGAGGGGAGAAGAAAAGAAGGAGAGAGAGAGAGAGAGAGCGTGCTACATAACACAGTTAATGTTTGGTATTTGGCCAAGCAATGACGCCTCTTCAAGGATACTTAGACGCTTTTCCGTGGCATATAGCTGGCATTATTGCCACACACACACACACAACAAAAGTTGCTTACATTTATCCATAATTGGACTTTTTATGCTAGCAGCTATTTAACAGCACTCACACACACACATACCAACACAGATGTTGGCCATTTAAATGAAGTGAAACAAATGAGATATATGTGCGCGTGTGTGTGTGTTTGTTTTTTAATATTTAAATAGTTATTAATAAAGTGGAATGTGTAACAAAGATCTACATTTACATATGTTGCTGGACAATAATTTGTATGAGGAAAATAAATTCATAATTGGCCATTAAAGACAGAAAGTTAAAAATCTGAACCGGATGAAATTTTGTATTAACTGTGTAATTTCAGTTGTACAATGGGGGCGGATGGATGGTGGCGGTAATCGATATTAATAAAAGAGTAAAGTAATTGACTGACTGATAGATTCATCAAGGCCCAAGCGAAATGGGTAGATAAGGATCACTCTTGGTCGCAAGGGGTCAGATAAGGCTCGTACTAGAACGGCACGAAAAGTATTAAGAGGTACTAAATATGGTACCCTTTGTATTTGAAGAAGCAGTAGGACTGGAACTCTTGAAGTACGAATGAGGGTCACTGATGGAGTGCACGATAGATGTACAGGGTGAGATAAAAAAAAAACTGCAACAAAGTCTAACGCCATAATTTTTATACCCTACACCACAAGGTGGTCAGGGTATTATGTCTTTGTGCATTTGTTTGCAACAGGCAAAAGGAAACGAGATAGACCTATAGTTCCTTTTGATGATCTGCATAGAATCACATTCTGAGTCGATTTATGCATATCCGTCCGTCCGTCCATCTGTCCATGTATTTTTTAAACAAAGTACAGTTCGCATTTATTGCCCTATCCACATGAAATTTTGCACAAAACA